AATATACTTTTACTCAAATAAAGAGTTTCCTTGGTATCAGAATTAAAAAAAAACTGTTGTAGCGCTCTTCTTGAAAAACCCGTTACTAGTGGTGAAAACGAAGCTCGCGGGAGAAAGCAATTATCGGTTTATTCGCCAAAATGTGGATTTTTTGCAAAACATTTTTTGCTTGCATATTCGGAAAGACGCAGTGGTGCTCTTTCATATTTACGAAAAATGAAGGCCTTTTTACGCTACATGCTACATAGACGATCCAGGGTTTCAGGTAGGTATAGATTTTCATATTTAAACATATATTATATTTATATAGGGATTTATATGTGTGAACTAGGTACTTTTTAATAGCCTTGGTTTTTTTTTTTTTGATAGATCACAGTTGAGTCTTGTCAAGCTCTCATGTTAGTTTTGTTCAGTATTGTTTTGCATTTCATCATGGGAAGACTTACGAGTGAACAGCGTTTACAAATCGCTCTCTATATCTATTTTAAAACGCATATCAATTTTTTTTTGTGTYAGAAGATCCGGTAACGAGTTAAAATGTTCCACGTTTTTCAARGCGCTTAATAATCTATGCGCGTTTTTTATGCGGGTTTTTTGTCGGAGAATATTGCTCAACTCAGCAGTATCAAATATAAACGTACATATGTTTTGATTACAATTGCCCGCAAATGTTTTTTAAATTTTGACTTCCGAATAAATCAATATATATGTTTATTAGTATATAAAAGCATGAATAAAGTAAAGTTCATGTTTACGTTATTTGAAACATGTTAGTGTCAAGAAATATGATATTAGAATATTTTGTTGCATTGAGTTTAATTTTGAAAATCCTTTGTGATTGAAATATATACATACTATTTGGGCCAAGATAAGCTACCTAGATTCTTAAACGAACTTTAATTATGTATTCTTTTCTAAAAACCGAAAAATATCTATGAAATACCAGTATGAAGGGAGCCTTAAGGGGGAGATACCGCCAAAAAAGGYCATTTTTTGCACTTTTATTAAGGGAGAATAAAAACCGATCACATCCAAATTTTTACATATGTAGTAAGAGGTATTATTTAACTACTAAATAAAAAATATTTTATGTACAAAAAATGACGGAAATATTAACGAACCCTGTCAATCAGTCGGCCGTCAACTTCCTGGCTAGGCTTTTTACTTGAAATGAAAATAATATACATATTTTTTTTCTTAATCAAGAAGCTTTTATGAAGCGCATAATAGGGGGTTTTGAGAATTTCGATAAATTGGGGATGTTGGCTTGGGACCAATTGGGACCATCTTGGATTTTCTAAAAACTTGCATTTTTACCCTTGGTTTTCGACATCAAAGGAGTTAAACCACTGTCAACACGCCATTTCTCTCTCCGAAAAGCGCTCTATACGCACTTGAGTATAAATTTGTCTATAAAATACACTTTAGTTCAAGTAGTTCGGTTAAATAATTGGCTCGCAATTTCGACGGCCGGATAAAAAATTAGTTTCGAGGAAAAGAGAGTCAATGTTTTGGTACCTATGCAGCCGCTGCATGAAGTTCAGTGGTTTTGGAGCCTATTTCTTGAAAATTTTCGGAGTGTACCAATGAAACTTCGGGAATATTTTTGTATAGTTTTTTAATTGATTAGAGGAAAAAAATTTTAATTTTTCTGAAAATACTAGAGGCATCTCCCCCCGATAATATACCAATTTGTTCAAAGTGGCATTTGTTGCGAAGGAGACTTAATTTTTTTCTGTTTTGTTGAACCACATTTGTCAAACATATTCAATTACCCTAAAGTCTTTGAAAAAACAACATATTTTTTCCTTGTGTTAAATATGTAAAATTTTTTACCGAAAAGTAATGATTTTGAAGAAAAGTGCTGCAGAGTCGCAACCTATGTTTKTCACGGCTATGGTGATTATGTTCTATTAGAAGCCACAAGCAAAAGATGGTTTCGCAGATCCAGAGACTTTGAAGACGCCGAACTGAAAGTAATATTGGATGAAGATGATACTTTGAGTGAAAAGCACATGGCAGCGATGTTAAATGTTGCACAAAAAAACTATTTTAGCCACTATGAGAGCTAAGTAAAAAATCCAAAAGTGTACAAAATGTGTGTCACATGAATTTAATGGAAGACAAATAGAACACCGATAACAGATCGTTTCGGTAAGAAGATGGGATCAGAAAGGTGCGTGGTACATCATGAGCTTCTATAACCTGGTGAAGGTGTTAATACCAATCGCTATAAACAACAAATGATCAATTTGAACCACGCATTGATCGAAAAATGACAGGAATAAGCCGGAAAAGTTACACGACAATGCAACTGCACAAAAACCAAAACCGATGCAGGTTGATTGTAATGAAAGTACTCTGCTGGGAACTGCTAACCTACCCGCCGCATTCACCAGGCTTGTCTCCTTGCGGTTACCATCTGCTTTCATCGATGGAACACTTATTGGCTGTACAGCACTTCGACTTCTTACGCAGAGGTCTAAAATTGGGTATATGAATGGTTTATTTAAGAAGATGAACATTTCTGTTGGCATGGTACCCGCAAATTGCTAAAGGTGGTACAAAATTTGTAAAAAGCAACGGTCAATCCTTTGAATATTTTTTTTACTATCCAATTTAAATCTTGTATTTTGTTTTCACAAAAACTGCTTATTACATACAGGTATAATAAAAATCTTAAAACTAATTTAATAATTTTAGTTACCACTATCAAATGTTATAAAAAATGTGAACTCCATTGAATCAAATAGTTTCGTATAATTTTTTTCCATGTCATAAGACTATACATTCCATGCATTGATTGTAGCGTGTGATGGGATTTGACAATCAACAGTAATACACCTTGTTCACCTAAGGGTGGTACCTAGCACCTAAAGCTAAGCGAGGTAGATATAGGGTTATATATGTACAGTGTCGGACAAAAGTCATTGGACTAACTCGAATCTCACACATATACATCTATGTATGTATTAGAAGAATAATTTTTTGTAAAAGAAAGATCGCGTCTTCTATATTAAGAAACAACGCAATTTTTTTCAACTTTCATCGATGATTTATAAATTATATCAGAATAGAAAAAAGTAAAAAATCGTGCGACAGAAATCATTGGTCTTTACCTATATATGAGAATAAATTAATTTTAAATTAGTATTTTATAGATGAAATTAAATTACTAATATGTCTGTCATTTATTCCATTACAGGCTCGTTTTAAGGCATCAAATAGCTTGTTTTTATAACCGTGAACCTGTTCCCTGTTAAATTGCCTGTTGACAATTTCCCATAAGTTTTTAATTGGATTCATATAAGGAGATTGGTCGGACCATCTCATAACATAAACTTATTATTCCAAAAACCAATCCCCAATTTTAAGGGTGTATCTGGGGTCATTGTCATGTTGAAACTGCCAATCAGGAAGCTAAAAAGATCAGCATCAATGGCGCGTCATTTTACTCCCTCTTAGCTGTAAGCTATCTACAACATTTTTTGCTGATATTTTAGGATATTTTTTAAACTCGCGCACTATTCGCAAGTCATCCTTTACCGAATTGACTCTAGGACGTCCTCCAATATTAAGTTTTTTAACGGTTCCTTCAGCTTTGTACTTGTATAAAATAGCAGAAGCAGTTGATTTCCCCAGGGAATAATTTTTCCAAAGCTTCTTCGTCGCACATTTTTTCTAAATTCGCTAAAAATTTTATCTAAAATAATTTTTAAGTAGCATTATCTACTATATAAAAACAAGTCGGGTTTTCCTTCCTGACGCTATAAATCCAGGACGCATGAACCGATTTCTACGGTTTTGCATTCGTTGGAAAGGTCTCGGGCTCCGTGAGGTTTATAGCAAAGAAAATCGGGAAAAATTTCAAAAGAAAAGCGGGAAAATATTTTTTTACATACAGCGCCATCTCTGATACAAATCATGTACTACAAACAATATTTTAAGTAGATGGCGCCGGTGCGTGATACATTGTTTGACAGCTACACATTTTTCTCTGTTCAGTTAATATCATGAGACAAACCGATATAGTGTTCACTTTGAAACTGTGAAATTTTTTTTTTTAAATAAGTTATTCGTTTTCTAACATTTCAATTGGAAACCATCAAATAAATCACATGTATTGTGCAAATTTTTATTCAATTTCAACAGCAGGCATTTGTCTTTAAGGCGGCAAGTTAAACTGTGTAAATTATGTGGATCGTGCACTTGAGGTTAAATTCATCACTCTGTAGATAGTCCAAAATGCCTAGAGGACGACGTACGAACATCGGCCGCCGCACAAGACATGCAAGCAAGCAACAAAAAAGCGTTTGTATTCACAGAACTTAAGGGAAGAAAGACAAAATATAATAAGAGAAAATGCCCGATTGAGACAGCGCGTGAGGACACAAAGAGCATTGGCATCTTATAATACAATCACTTGGCGTTCCAATAGGATCCCACTGCGAACTACCCTGATGATGAAAATTTAGACATTGGAGCAATGACGATAAATGCCGATATTTCAATGCGTTAAAGTTCAAAAGAGCAACTGCTGGATTGTGCTGCGCAAGTGAAAAATTCAAACTGGATTCATTACTTACACCACCACAGCCACTGAAACCATTGTTCGATGGAAGTGATCCCGATTCCAGCCATTTTCTTCAACACATCCTTGAATACAATAACTACTTTCGMATGACTTCCTTTGGAGCTAATATCACTCGAGAAGGTGGCTTCATGCCGACTTGCAAGATTAAAGATACAACACACATAACCACACCAACACAATGAATTCTTCAATAAATTATAGTTTGCAATTACAGATACAAGGACAAATGTACCATTTGCATGGTTCAATGGTGCCAACATCAGATGAACCACATCAATTTCTGCAAATATATTTAATTTCGTCGATGGTGATCAGCTGAATGAGCGGTGCAATATACAGGGAACACAACAGTAAAAGAGACGAATTATTGAACAGTTGCAAGCATTTTTTCACGCTTATAATGATGTGGTTAATATATTCAAAGCATTCGAACGAATGGCTTCGCATTGGCACAAATTTGTCATAAGAGCGGATTGTACCCTAATATGTGAACATATGCGAAGAATCATTAGTATTGTTGGTGATCCAACTAAATCGCGAGATATTGTCGTTCAGYGAAGAAGCGATATCATGAATCGTGTAAACAAGACACATCGTTTGTATGATGCGTTACAATATCCAATCATTTATTGGCAAGGGCAAGACGGGTACGACATCACATTGAAGATGGTCGATCCAATTACAGGTGTAATATTCACTCACTATTAATGCTATTATWGGTTTCCATTAACAATTCGTTTAATTTTGCATTTTCAGGCATATCAACGAATAAAAATCTAAGCGCAATGAATTACTATGCGTATCGTATGATGATTCGTACACATGAGGAGAATGTCATTATGAAGTGCCGTCGGTTATTAAAGCAGTTAGCTGTCGACATGTATGTCAAAGTCGAGACCAAACGTTTAGCGTTCATCTGATTCAATCAGGCAAAGTTACGACCCTCCTGTTCAGAATATTGGATGTCTGACGATTCTCCCATCATCTTATATCGGAAGCCCGAGCCACATATACGAATACGCTCAAGACGCTATGACGTACGTGTGAAGTTATGGAACTCCGGATTTATTTATTACGTTCACATGCAATCCGAAGAGCACGAAAATTGAACGTGAGTTGGAACCGGGCCAAAAATCGCAAGATCGCCATTACATAATCGCCAGAGTATTTCAGCAAAAACTCAAGGATATGATGGATCTGCTTACTAAGTATCGAGGTTTTGGTGACACACGTTGTTATGTGTATTCGGTGGAATGGCAGAAGCGTGGACTACTGCTTGCTCATATCCTAATTTGGTTGATGAACAAATTATATTCAAATGAAGTGGGTGACATCATATCCGCTGAAATTCCTGATCCAGTCACTGATCCCCATCTACACGACATTGCGATGACACAGATGGTGCGTGGACCGTGCGGTGCATTAAATCCATTATCGCATTGCATGGCTGATGGAATGTGCACAAAACGATATCCGCGAGTTGCTGAAACAGTCAAAGGGAAAGATGCATATCCAGTTTATCTTCGGCGTTCAAAAGAATATAATGGTCGAACTATCAAAGTTAAAGTTCAAAATCAAGAGATTGAGATCGAAAATGAATTCATTGTACCATATCGCTCGCTGCTATCAAGATTTTTCGAAACACATGCAAACGTTGAGAGTTGTCATTCGGCCAAATCAATCAAGTATTTGTGCAAGTACACATGGCTGTGTTTGGTATTGCGTCGGAAAATACGAATGACGAAATCAGCAACTTCCAAATGGGCAGATACGTCAGTACTAATGAAGTACTGTGGCGATTATTGTCATTTCAAATTCATGAAAGATATCTCACAGTTGTACATTTAGCAGTGCATTTGGAAAATGGCTAATGAATTTACTTCACTGAGCCTAATAGCGGAAACAGTCAAAATAGCTACTCCATTCCACCCTTTTCCTTCCTTAGCGAGAAAAATGCGAACAAACACCGAAATCAACCATCTTTGTTTGTTTTCATTTGAACAATGTTGCCATTGCTCAATACGTATTTTTGTACACATATAAGTTTTTAATTACAATTTTTCATAATATAAAATATAAAAACTGACAACAAAGTATTAAAAATAGTTTATATATTTATAAATAATAGTATTCGACTCTAATTTGAGTTATTTTAAGAAAATTTCAAACATATTGATCAGCTGACACGTTTCTACGACAAATACCAAAATGCCGTGAATTCCCATGGCATCCTACCGCCAAGAGAGAAGGGAGTAGCGTTTCTCACTGTTCATTTACATTGCGCGCCCATAAGATAGGCCGTATCGGCTGACACGGGCCACGATTCTACGTTTTTGACTTTTTCTGCTATAATGCGGCACAACGAGCTGAGAGACCACCATCGACAACATTGACTAGCTTCTTTGCAATGTGTGAAGCAGATCCATTCGCAGTGGCGTGATGTACGTTGAAATGCAAAAGTATTACACATGGAAGCAACCCCAGTTCCAGAATAGCCACAGGTGTTTTCCACTGATGCTCTAGGCCGCATGTATACTGTTCATCCTCGAAATGATGAATGTTTTTATTTGCGACTGCTGTTGGTAAATGTAWGTGGACCAAAATCATTTGCTCAAAAAACTCTAGATTTTTTTTTTTAACACAATACCATAGCACCAACACAAGTCAAATAAAATAATTAAATAAATAAATTTTCCGTTTAATATTCATTTATAAAATAAATATAAAAAACTCTCAATCTCGTCTGTCGCGAGGGCACGAACGAAAGCCCATGCAAAGACTGCGTGTAGCATGCAGCGGTCTCGCATACCTATACACTCTGAGTATACATGTAGGTACGTAATCTCGTCTGTCGCGAGTGCACTAACGAATGCCCATGCAAAGAGCGCGTATAGTCTACATATATTATAAGAATACACGCAGAGTATATCTGTGTAAAGCCTCATCTGATGCTGTAGATTTTCACGTCATCCAACGTCAAAGAGAAAAGGGAGTCGCGTTTTTCACTGGGCACTTACATTGCGCGCCCATAAGATAGGTCGAATCAGCTGACACGACCCACGATTCTGCGTTTTTGACTGTTTCTGCTATGAAACGAGAACGGCTAAAAATCCCACAAAAGTGCCCAACGCGCCAAGAAAAGGAGGGAAAAAAGAGGCCGTGTTCTCATCGCCATGATTTCTGCCGTTGTCGTCATCTGAAAAATAAAACAATAACAGATCCTTAATGAGTACGAATGTCGCTATGTCATGAAGCAACAAAACAAAAAAAAAAGGTAGATTTTTTCACAAATTTTTCAATTTTGTCGATTTTTTTTTAAATATTATAAATTTCAAATATTAATTTTTTGATGCTTCTAGTGATAGAGATAATTTAGAATATTCATGCCAAATTTCAAATAAATGGACTGATTAGAACTTGAGCAGTTTTGAGAAAAACGCGTTTAAAGTTTTACGTTAAGTTTTGGCAGCGTAATAGATAGATAGATAGTTCGCTCAACTGATTTASTTGCCATGTCACTAAAATGGCTATAACTTTCAAAATAATTTGAATTTGAAAAATCCTTTCAGGGAAATATTTTTGAATATTAAAACTATCRAATTATAAAAAAAAATGTTTTCGATTTTTTCAAATTTCTAGACTAGAATACCCTCTTAAAACTTTTTAATGCTGATTCTACATTCTAGGATATAAAAGAGGCCAATTGATTTCATAAATAACTTACTTTCCGAACAAGAACTATAAATAAGAAAACAAAGTAAACATACAAGATTTTCAGATAGAGTTAAAAAAGCGTAACCAAGATACAAGGGAGTAGACAACTTTAAAGAAGAGTGAAATTACTTAGTATCTAAAGATTCAAAGTTTAAAAAAGCATACAAGACTCCAAGGTAAACGAAAATTTAAATTTCAGGATTAATATGGTGATAATTRCAATACTCTTAACGATAATAATGGCAATTAATGGTCTTTTACAAGTAAACAAGCTTGAAAACCAATCGGGATACGCTAAAATAAGAATCAGAGAGATAGAGATAGTGAATCAAACCACAACGGTAATCCATATAATACACCCCAAGGAATTTAAACAGATTATGAATAAAATAGAAAATAACTTAGAGAATAATTTCAACCAATATAACAGGAATGACAGGGAAACATTATACGAAGAAATAAAGTCAATTAAAGCAAAAATAAACACATTAATGCCTATAGGAAATAACAGAAAACGCAGAGGACTATTTAATATTGTAGGAACTACATACAAATGGCTCTTCGGAACCATGGACAATGAAGATAGGGAAACATACTACAACATTTAGAAATAATAGAGAAAAACAATCATAAGATAAGAGGAGCATTAAACCAACAAATATATATAATTGACAGCTTCAATAAAACCACTAATACATTGAAAAGAATTATAGAAGATGATAGGACAGAAATACTAAAAACCTTTGATAAAATAAATAAATCAAAAGAAAAAATTATAAAACACATGCTTTATTCTGATCAGATGCTTAAACTTAAACACTTATATCATGTTCAGACCGAAAATTTAAAAGATTAGATWACATTTAAGCATTTCATAACCCAACAGTGTTCTCACTGCCATTAGAAAATTTAAAAACAGCTGTTATTGTCATTCAAGAATTCACATCGCTTAATATTTATTAAAAGAAAAGATTGTCATATAGTATTTTGAGATAAAAGCCGGCATTTTTTAAATATTTTCATATAATAGAAATAATAGATGTATTTTTTCGTTTGTTAAGTCGATTTTCAGGTGAAATTAGATTCATTGCTTTAAAAAAAATTGTTTGTTTACATCTTTTTCCCTTTGTATTGTCTAAATCAGTTGTGATAATGTAATTTTCAATGCTGCCAAGTATATGGAGCAAAATCAGAGTCGCACAGAGTSACTTAGCGTGGATCAGTTTCAAATCATTTCGATGAAGGAGCACATTTCAAAAATGTAAAAGAAATTAACGTCTGTCCGTTTAACCAATGTAAATACGAATATAACAATGACACAATGTTCGCAGATATCGAAGATGATACTATACTGATTGAAAGTGCATATAAAATAGAAATGAAACAAAACTGTGACAATAGAAAAATTGTACTCAACGGAAATGCTTTAATAAATGTTTATAATTGTAAAGTTGAGATAAAAAATAAATCATCCCAAAACCAAAACGTTATTGTAGAAGAAAGGTATATTTTCCCTGAAAAGAGAAATAAAAATAGCAATCTAAATATAGAGCTGCAAATTCAACCTCTTTCAAATGAGGAAAACACGAAAAAAACAAATATCAAAATTGGCCCAATGTCAAGTTCAAAACATGAAAAAAATAAAATGGAAACAACAATGTAACTATACTTTTATAATCATTATTAGTAATAATATGTTAGATATTCAATGAAGATCATTGAATCTAGGGGTAGAGGAGTCACATATTGACATACATAACCTTAATAATAAAAAAAAAAAATAAAAAAACATTATTCAGTTCAAGAAAACTTCAAACCTGAACTCTTTCTTGAAATAAAATGAGCTTGGTTACACATTTTTGCTGATYAAGCAAATAGGGATTTGGAATGCATACAAATATTTATAAGAACATGCATATAGTACATAAGTACATATGAGTGCCAGCGAGCACACTACAGTAAATGTAAGAAATAAAGATCAAGCTCAGTTGAAATAAAGAGCCAAGCAAAGAAGCTTAAGTTTTTATTGCAGCAAAACTATATACTTTATCATTTTCGTTTAAATATTCCTCGCTAGAGAGCTCCGATAATAAATACGTCCGATCGCTGCTAAATTCGCAGGAAGAGGCTTCTACCTTTATTTAATCAGTTATCTATTTGTGTTTTCAACATATATAATATATAGGTATTGAGTGTATAATCCGATTTTACCCATTTTCATACTATTAGAAGAGGTATCAAATTGATTTTTCTTGAACATTATTAGCAGGCGGGAGCACACCGACCTTAAACAACATTTAAATCACAAATGCCATTCTCTAACACAATTTTATGTGCCAAAATACAGTTTTGTACCAGGAAATTCACACATACTCGTAACACATATGTAAAAAGCCAACCGGAAGTTTATATATTTGTCCCAAGGGAACATAATTATTAGAAAATCATTGTCCTTGAATACCATTTGCATCAAAATACAGTATTTGTGTAAAGTTTTAGTCAAATATCGTCATTAGTGTTTTACTTATATATGAACTGTAAATTTAAAGATGATTTGATGTAATTGAAAATTGTGATGAATGGGAAGAAGACGTGCTTACACTTTGCAACGATATTTTTCCCATCGGGAAACGATGTTTTATCAAAACACCAAATTCAATTATATTAAATTGTGAACGAAAATAGAAGATGTGGCATATTGCATCCATTCCTTACACATTAATAGCTGCATTCTGAAAATTTCATTTATATGGGTATAAGCATTTTTGTTATCTACAGACTCCCTACATGGTTTTGTTAACCTCACGGTTTTTGTAACATCTAAATCCTATTCAAATCACGATAACTTTTGTATCCCTATTTCAGTTTAACTTAGAGCAACATTTCTTTTTCTTTTTGAAACCTAAAAACAATAAAGTAACTCATATGTAATTATAACAGCAATTTTTGAGAAATATTCAATAAAATTCAAATAATAAGTATATTTCCTAGTTATGAAAATGTAAACAATTATGAATGGCCTATACGTCTGCATGACGGTTTCTTTTCATGGGCAAATGCATTTTTCCGAAAAGGAAGAAGTCGCACGGTGCTATATCAGGTGAATACGGGGAGAGGTTAATTGTTAAAATGTAATTTTTGGTCATAAGCGTCGAATCGAATGTTGGATCTAAGCAATTTTTGGTCGTCACACACACCTTTCGTAAGCCCAAATGTTCTGGTCATTTATTTCCTCAGGACCACTTTGAAAACGTGGAAACCACTCGTGCACCTGCTACGGAATAGGCAATCATCGCCATAAGCTTGTTTCTTTATTTGAAACGTTTCGGTAAAAGTTTTACCGATGGTAAAACAAAATTTAATGTTGACTCTTTGTCCGAAGCTCCTTGTCTCACCGATAACACAAACATACTGACACTTAAAACGCAACAACTTCACTTCTAATCAATGAAATGTCATGAATTCATTCCCAATAGACAATCCATAAAGATAGCACATAGACAGCGCTACCTGAGGGCTATTACTTTGGAACACACCTTGTAAATATAATTTTATAAATAAGTATGTATATAATTATATATAAATATGTTAAACGGGTTTTTTCACGCATGTGAGGAAAGTTCTCTTATTGMCATTCACTTGTGAGTGGTCAGAAACGATTCTTTTATATATGGCTCACGCAACTCACGACTTCAGGTCTTTTACCAAGTATCCTATGGGTAGCCATCCGCTTGAAGGCGAGCAACAATGTTGAAGCTGAGTTTGGGATTCTCCACGTAAACCACGCCCCAATGAGAATGTTTATAAAACCGAGTGAGTGACGTGTCGCAGCGGAGAGAAAATATACTGCTCACATCGCAACGTTACGACCAATTGGCGCCATCAACAATTGGTTGTTAACAGTCAAGACTTCGCACTAAGTAGCCAATTGAGAAGTAAAGTTCTCTCGAGACAAGCAAAAACCAAACTCTAAAAGTCACTCATTATTCCCATTCTGCTATATGGTGCAGAGGCATGGACGATGACAACATCTGATGAAACGACGTTACGGTGGAGAAATCTTGCGAAAAGAAGAAATAACTGGCATGCTGTTGTTAACTCGGCATAACAGCGTAAGCGATTTCTACACCAGTAAAAAAGATGAAGATTATACATTTATACTAGGAGTGGATAGCTGTTTGTAAAATGTTGACAATTTAATTTTGGATACTGAGTTATCACAGGAATATAAACCTGTATAGTATTTCAAAAACATTAATTTCCACTGAATTAAGATATGCAATCAATTAGAATGCTATAGTGTGGTCTTTAAAAGCATTACGTAGTAAGTTTTTTAAAAATACACTCTGACTATAAATCACACCCATCTACGGATGAAAAGTTGAAATTATGCTTAAACGAAATATAAACAAACCCAGATGATTATTTTAAACACGACATAGAAATAGACAATCAAAAACTTGAAGAGCAAGAAGTAGAGAATCTTTAGTTAGTGATGAACACATGTCGAGACTACAGTATACAGCTAATCGTTAAAAATTTAAGGGTATTCGTTTAAACGTGTAAAAGCCCCGTAAACCTCTTAAACTGTGTATATTTACGAACGCGTAAAAATCTGGCAGCAACTTATATGGAAATTCATTTAAACACATTACGCACCAATGTCAGTGTGTAAAGAACGCTTGTAAATTTACGATATTGCAAAAGCAACGCTTTAAAACGACCAGCTGATGAATATTATTGTGAAAATTAAAATGGAAAAGGYAAGAATGAAGCTCGGAACATAAATTTTATTTAATTGCGGCAATTGTTTTATATTTCAGGATAAAAAGTTAAAGCAAAAGCGCCTACGGCTGAAACCGTCGCATCGCTGGACAGAGTCGCAGTCCCTGCAGCTGTTGCAAGCAGTATCCGAAGCAATAGTCCAGAATCTTTTGAAGTAAGGGTTTTAGAAAAGTGAAAATGTTTAGGTACATATGTTTGTTTTAACACGAATTTACGYATATCTTCCAGAAACCGACCTCCCAAAGGTTTTACGAAAAATTGCAGCAAAATACACCGGCACTTCAATCTGTCCTTTGCKTAGCTATGAAAAGCAAAATGAGGTATCTCAAAGCGTCGTACGTTGCCGCGGCAGCCTGGDAAAACAAAACTGGGTCTGGACTACTGGCTAATGGTGACGAGTCAAGCGTATCAGCGCATGTCAACAAAACTTGTCCCAGCTTTGACTTACTGGAAGTTATCTTCGGGCAACACAAAAATGTAAATCCCGTAGTAATTTTTGAAAGCACTGACAGCATTGAAGTACTGACTGATTCCCCTTGTGCTGATAGTTCGTTAAACGATACCATCGATTCCTACGATTTGTGTGCGCTCGATTGTGAGGATTTAGTTGACCCAATATTACCTATAAGTAGCGATTGCAGTGCCACCGCCGCGAGAACTTCTACACTACAAAGTTCGTTGGACTTTAGAAGTTCAACAAAAAAACCAAAAAAAAGGGTGAAGGCCCGTTCAATAAATTGATTTTTATTCAGGAGAAAAGGTTGGAATTAGAAGTTAAGAAAATAGAATTCGAAACAGAAAAAGAAAAGAATGAGGTCGAGCTGAAAAGAATTGAACTAAATAATCAATTAGAAATGAAAAGAATTGAAACTGAATCAGAAAAAGAAACCAAACTGGAAATTGAAAAACTGAAACTTGCTAGTGAAGAACGCATTAAAATGTTTGAAATAGAGTTAAAGTTAAAATCAAAATAAATGTGAAACTTTAAAAGATTTCACATGGTACTTTTTTCGCAAATTTAAAAGATCTCATAGCAAAATACATATATTTGAATGTAACTAAATGTTAATAGGCACAGAAGCACTATTTATTTTTCTTGTAAATAAAAGCATATATTAATGGATTTTAAAGATATGTAAACATGAGTTTCAATACTTTATTTTTAAGTTTCCATCAGTGATAACAATGAAAGGCGCTTAGATGCACCTTCAACTGTTGGTAAGTTTTGATCCCCAGGCTCGTCGGCTTCACTGTTTTCACTAATTCTTCCTTCGTCAACATCAAAATTACCCTCGTTTTCTTTTAATATAATATTGTGCAATATCGCACAAACTAATATCCACCGGCATGCAAACTTTACCGAATTGTCACCCTTTATTTGAATTTTGAGTTCTTTCAAGTTATTAAAACGTTCTTTAAATAAACCAAAGCAATTCTCAATTCTTATTCGGTACTGGCTGAACGTTCTGTTGAACAGAATTCGTTGATTCAAGGTGCCTTCGGTTGCGTTTATTCTAAAAGGAGTAATAAGGCGCGAAGTTAATTTATATGCACTGTCTGCAGCTAACTACTCTGATCGTGTTAGCATTTCAGTGGCGTTTGTGGACCACTCGCAATTGTTGTATATCCTAGCGTCGTGAACACTACCGGGATACCCCAATACCAAATGACGAATTACTAGTTTGTGGTCAGACACACATTGAGCCTTAAGTGAATATATGTGGTGGCAACCACATTACCAAAATGCAGCCCTGACGAATTTCCTTCATTACTGACGTTTCCACTGTCCTTCGTGTCAGCGCCCGCTTTGTCTGTAATGCATACAGAAGATATCTTTCTTCTGTCTTTTGCGCTTGCTAAGCACACACGTGTTTCAACGTCTCGTGCAACTTAACCAATTCCTATATAACRAAGTTGAGAGACGAAATAAATTAAAGTTTTAAATAGATTAGAAGATTTATTTAAGTTTTGCAATTAAGTAATCGCTACATATATATGCYTGCGAGAAAAATATGCTTCAAAATCTACAGTGGGGTTTTCCGCCAATTTTATCTCCGTTCCATCTACGTAGCCAACACAATGTGGTAGCCCACTGAGTGTTTGAACAACTAAAGCTCTACGCTCTATAGGGTCCGACCAAAACAGAAACTGAGTTTTCCTATTAATAATTGCTTCAAATACTCTGTTGGTCATGACCTATTGAGAAATTTAAAATACAGCTGAAACACAAATTTTAACCGATACGTATGTAAATAGCTCACCTGTATTACTCCACCATCGCTAATACCAAACCGACTAGAAATTTTAGTAATTGTTGCTCCTTCTCCACATGAACCCAGTCGGTACATTACTACAGCCAATTGAATTTGGATAGGGAACTGTTTACACGAACGTGGACCATTGAACACTTCGTCATCCTTTATCAGATCAATGATAAAATCAAATGTGGTTTTGCTGACTCGCACAATTTCTCGAAACCTGTTTTCTTCCAAATGCGGTAATACATCTATTAAAAAGTTAGGTGATTTTGGGACAGAATGATGAACAAGTGTAGATCCATATCTAAAATATGCATCAGCTGCCAATGCAAAGCTAAAGTCTTCCATAATTTCATCTTCCTTTTTGCGTTRGATTTCTGAAATCATTTACATATTTATGTATTATGCGCCTTTAAAAAATTTAGCATTAACGCAAAACAATTACCGTCATGTTTTCCAAACAGCTCCAACATTAACAAATCAAATACTAGTGCTTTTTCCCAAAGTTGAATAAATTTTGCTTTTTCGCTAAATTTCGACATTTTAATATTTTGACACCCAAACAGCTGTTTAATACATAAGTGGCATTTACACAAGGAATTTGAAGTGCGTTCATGTAACACACTGCGTATTTGCATAAATTTATGCGATGGGTAACATTATACGTTTAAACGAATACCCTTTTTACTAAATTATTCTTTAAATTATAAAGTACCATAAACGCCGAGACAACTTTTAAGGTCTCTGTGTAACTTCAGAGTGTATTTATAGTAAGTTAATCACGGACTTTAACGCTTTCACGAAAACATTAGAAAATAAATATTGTGTATATGTTTCGCAACATGAATTTCATTGTTAGAACAATTCGCCTTAGCCGTTGAACATAGAATTAGTGCTCGACTGAAACAGGTCAAAGCAATTAAGATGTTATGGAACTGAATTAACCATTGGCATGTGTCAAGTCAATAAAAGTTCCGCTTCATATATTTCACACACATTTTCTGCACCTCCTGACTCATTTATATCATTTTCTGTATCCTTCAAAGTCGACAACTACGTCAGAAGTCATATCAAAGCTCCAAAATCAGAGCATGGTTTCCGGAAATCGAGAGAATATTATCTGCGACAGGGCTGCTGCGATGTACATCTATTCTTAATAACAATGAGAACAGCTGATTGTAATTTTTGTAATACTTTCAATGAAAATGGATAGAAGACTAACACCAAGTTTTGCAAAAACATTTTTAAAACTGCATCATAAAATAACATCATAACATAAAACTTCTTGTTTTATTATTGAAAATTAGAACAGCTGTCAGTGCTGCTTGTTTTCATTSAAAATAGATTAAAATTGGTAACTTTTAGCAATGGAGCCAACGAAAATGCAATTTATGCAACAGAGTTATCTTCCGTAACTCCTGCATTAATCCGGATTATTCAACAAATAACGCATTAAACCTCAGATCCACATCAGTATAAAATCAATGCATTGGTGGCATTCAAACGCATGCAAATTAGTAGTATTCTTTAACTAAATCGGAAATATCTGAGGCCATACCAAATAATAATAATAACAGCAAGAATTTATGATGTACATTAGCTCACAAACGTAGCAGGTCATATCAGCGCAACAACTACAGCTGCGACGTATCAACAACTGCGACAACAGGATGGTCGATTGTGGGAGTTCAGGGGTTAATGTGAGAACAGTTACGAAAGAAAATATTTTTGAGRCGGCAAAAGAAAATGGGGAGTTAAAGGATTTCACGAAAGATTAAAGATGTGTGCGGGAAAAGCGACGTGATAGACTTATTCATTCTAAACAAGTGCTTTTAACCAATAATCTAATTGTCATTTTACTATAACTTTTAATTAATTTTTAAATTCAAATACAACAATAAAATTCATACAGGGATCACAGTAGCCAGAAGCACCTACAGACGGGAAATTAAATATTATAGCAATTTCCTCCAAATAACGTTTGTGTTGAAAAATACTAGTACTTTTCAAAATATCCGATAATATACTGGTCAGTATGTGGTAATCATTGAGCGTCTTTTTCTGATAGATATACATATATATTTATGTAAAAAAGTATAAAAATAACTCGAAACTCCTTATACGAAATATTTATAAATAATAATCAAGTTATTGCTTGCACGAACGGAGGGCTGGACACATAGTCAATCGAATTCAACTCGTATTGACATCATAATCAATTACGAGAATAAAGATTAGTCGTCGGCATGAGAGGAGTTGTACACAGTCACAGTTAGCACGAAATTGAGCACTGAAATGAATTAAAATTCATGAATATTTTTCATTGTTCGTTTAAAGAAGTAGGACTGCTTTTACAATTATGCCATGAAATTCCAACCCCTGATTTAGTATAACTCCGTATCTATGTCATTAGCTTTAGGTATTACAAGTAGCCATTACATAAAAAAACCAAATAATTATAACGATAAACAAATAAATTGTAAACGCCTCAGAATCATTAAAATCTAAACCGGAAAGATTTAAGAAAAATACATAGTTGTATCATATGTAGTAAAACTGAATACATTTACATACTAGTTCACATTAATATACAGGGTGGCTGATTAAAGCTGCTACCAAAAAACAAAAAAATTAAACAACTTTTTTTCTATTTAATGAATCTGGTTAATTTTTAATTTTTTTTTATTTTGCAGATTTACTTTTACATT